GTTTTCTATTTGTCCAAAATGCCCATCTCCCTAAGACTTAGATTTATTGAATTTCAATAGTAGCAATAATTGTAGCAATTAGGAAAAACAACTGTAACCTTAATTAAATTAATTTGAATTATCGTGACAATAAACAAAATATAAAACTCCAATTAGAACCAACAGTACTGGTAGGCCTTAATTCTATTTGTCCCTAACAGTATTGGTCGGCTTGATGAAAAGATTGTTAGGATCCAGGTGCTGAACAAACAACTATTGAGATATCAAGTGTACAACAATTTAATGAGGAACAAGCTACAAGCATGAAAGATAAACGACACACAATATTTAACGTGGTTCGACTCCACCATTGAGCCTACGTCCACGGAGAGAAACCTGTTCTTTATTATGAGAGAAAAACTCTATACAAGAATACAACTTGAACCCAAGGCCAACTCTTGTATACCATCTCTCATCTCTCAAGAACCCTCTCTCACACCCCATATATAAGGCTACATGATACCCCTTGTGTCTCCTTGTGTGCCTCTTGTGTCTCTTTGTGTAGTATGCCAACCTACCTATTTATAGAGAACATTACTGCCCAAAAAACCAAATAACAATTGGAAACCAATACTATTTCCTAAACTCATATAGAATAGAAAATAGTATCTAGCTAAATAGGAATTTACTTGACTACTACTTCAAGTAACTAAATCCAATTAGGAAACTAGTTACTTCCCACACCAAATAGGAATTCTACCTAAAAGAAATTAAGCCAATTTCCTAACAAATCTCCACCTTGGCGAAAATTTCTTTTAGCAACCATTTGCCTTCAACTACCAAATGATATGGTACCAAACTACACACCCGAATCAATACAGTCCTGACACCAAATTGATTCAATCGGCAAATGAACATGTGTAGTTACCCCGAGTCCAACCTCCAGTTGACTCGTGCGAAGGTGCCTCAATTCGCCATCTCCCTTTGCAGGATTTCTTCTCACCACCATTTGCAATCCGGGATCCCCCTTCTGTGAGCGCTAACCCTAACCATTGAGGCAACTAAGTGGTAAAATCACCATAATTCTTCCCATCCTCTGGACTGTCTTGCCACATGTGGTTTCCAAGACTCCACCTAAAACGAAAAACTCGTACCTGTCAGAGTCTTTGGCGCATAGAAATTAGATCTCCTTGTTTCTTTGGGACACGTGCCACACCACCTAAAAAACATAACCAAAATCTAAAATTCACCGGGATGAAGAATCAACCGTTGGAGGTGTGAGAAAGTCTCCATCGATTCATGTCCAAAATCAAAATTGGACTCCATTTTTTCCTTGACCTTTGAATCACCTGCCTAGATTCACCGTCAAGTATTTTCGTACTTTTTGACTTCTCATCATTCACCATCAATGCTTTTTGCCAAGCTATTGAAACAAGGATATCACCCATTAAATTGTTCAATTGGTAACAACTACCAATCCACTTGATCTCAGTAGTTAACTAGGATCCAACTACGAACCTTGAGCAGCCCAGTCTCACAACCAAGCTCTGATACCACTTGTTAGGATCCAGGCGTGAAACAAATAACTATTGAGATATCAAGTGCACAACAATTTAATGAGGAATAAGCTACAAGCATGAAAGATAAACGACACACAATATTTAACGTGGTTCGGCTCTACCATTGAGCCTACGTCCACGGAGAGAAACCTGTTCTTTATTATGAGAGGAAAACTCTATACAAGAATACAACTTGAACCCAAGGCCAACCCTTGTATGCCATCTCTCATCTCTTAAGAACCCTCTCTCACACCCCATGTATAAGGTTACACGATACCCCTTGTGTCTCCTTGTGTGCCTCTTGTGTCTCTTTGTGTAGTATGCCAACCTACCTATTTATAGAGAACATTATTGCCCAATAAACCAAATAACAATTGGAAATCAATACTATTTCCTAAACTCATATAGAGTAGAAAATGGTATCTAGCTAAATAGGAATTTACTTGACTACTACTTCAAGTAACTAAATCCAATTAGGAAACTAGTTACTTCCCACACCAAATAGGAATTCTACCTAAAAGAAATTAAACCAATTTCCTAACAAAGATGGGGGCGGTTTTCTTCAGATAATCAATGTAGAGAGCTGGAAAGGTAGCAATGTTGATGACATCACTGAGAAATTTTCATATTTCAATGAGAGAACCCTAGAAGGGGCCAAAAGCGTGATCAGCCAAGATGACAAAGTTACCATTTCCAAGAAAGGCAACAAGGAGCTCAACTATGAATTGATGAGAGTTTCAGGAGTATTCCGGATAAAGGAAAAGATGAGAAAGCCAAGAATGGCTAGTAAAGGCCCTGCAACTTGAACTATGGGCTATTCCTTAAATAGCAGATATGAATCTCTTCATGTCAACCTATTCCAACCAGAAACCACAATCTAACAACAAATACAAATTAATAGAGCAATCCAACTTTCCAAGAACCTATGCTCAACTAAAACAAAGACATTAGAGAGAGTCATATCTGTACTGAGCCAAGTAGCAAGCTCTTCTGATTGCACCACAAACATTGAAAGACCAAATTGCCCATAATATGGTAGACGAAAATTAGTGAACAGTAAGCCTACCAACTAATTTTTACATACAAAAATCTTAGACTAAATGATTAACGACGTAAGCAAAAAGATGGCTCACCCCTTGACTTTAGGAATCCTGATATTTGTATCTATTACTTAGAAATATCGTGATTTTAAGTAACTTTTTAGAGATGGACTCATATATATACTCATAATAGGTCACGTGTTTTGCATGTGATTATAAAATCATAAAATATAATATTTCTCATACATTAAAATTTATTTGTGAAATTTTTTTAACAAATTTATTATTTGCATATTTTTTTTCTTTTTTATTTTTTTAATAAATGGGAGGTTTTGAATCCAAGAATTCCTATTTATAATATCTTTCACCTTACCACCCAACCCAATCCCCTCTTTTCTTTTTTATTTAATTTTTCATCTTCTTTAATTAATTGTCCTTAAAACCATTATTTTAAATATTTTTCTTTTGAAGTTGAATGACCTGAATTTGCACGCTAAACAAAAGTTAATTGTTTGCCAATCATTGGGGTTAGTATAGTGGCAAGATGAGAGCTCTTAGAGTTCTCTCTAATGTTAAAGTTCAGAACTCAAATCCTGTGCCTAATAATTGAGGATGAAAAGGGTGTGAAATGGGGTGAGAGGATCAAAAAAAGAAAATAAAAATAATTTTTTGTATAAATATTGGTTGCATGCTCTACCATTATTATTTTTCATGTTATGTAAGTTGAATTTGTTAGTTGCATGATGAAATCCCCAATATAATGTTTTATGCACCATTTTTTTAAAAATGAAGAGATATATATTCTTTGAAGCTGAACTCGTTGTATTATTTTGTGTGTTATTTCTATTAATGATGGAGTATAAATGATCCACACATATATAAATTTTTTATGTCTAATTATTCATTTTTTGAAAATTGAAATTTCATTGGTAGAGATAATTGAGTTTTTCTTTTTTTTTTTTTCTATTTTTTGGGCAGAATCTGACATGAAGCACAAACGACAAAGATTTTATCTCCTAAGAGCACTTTCTTTTGGTATCAAAATTAATATTTTTGAAGATTTGATAATTTAATTAGTCTGTAAGTAATCAAAAATTTTAATGGAATCAAAGAAAATAGAATACAAAGAGACACATTGGTTTGGAGTGTTATATTTTGTCTATTGTCTTCATAATTCAAATTTAATTCAGCTTACAGTTTTTTTCCGAACTGCTACAATTATTGCTATTATTGAAATGCAATAAATCTAATTATTAGAGAGAAAGGTATTTTTGGACAAATAAAAAGCAAAGATCCGACCCTGCTTAGTCTCCAATGCTTAACATTTTTTCTTGTCATCAACCATTATTTTCTTTTAAATCAATAGATATAATATAATGAATTTTAATCATCACAATAAATTAAAAACTATAAAAGAGTATAATATGAAACTTCAATCATCAATTAATAAGGGGATAATTGAAATAACAAAAACTAAAATCGTCAAGTTTCCTTGCTTAGTCACACCGGATGCTCGGAATAGAATGATGAGCTTATACGTTATGCATCCTTTCTGGAGAGTATCTTTGTTAGAAGTAGGCTTTTCCCCCAACCAGTAGGCTGTAACATGTTCCCATAAGCTGATTGAATTAGTCATGTTGATTTCGAACGATCTTAATTTGATAAATATCAGATTTTAGGTTGCTTTATTATGCTTATGTTGATTTTCCTATCTTTTTCTAATCTATAAATTAATACTAATAAGTCCAAATCCCAAACAAAACCAATCTTAAGTTTTAAAATTTCCTGTGTTTTGTGGATTATCATCCCAACTCTGCCATAATAGCCTTTATTATCAGAACCAGACAATGCCATCTTCTTAAAAAATTTGTACTACTTTGTTACTAGTGACTACTACCTGCTGGCAAGCGATATTCAGAGGTCCCTGTCTTTCTTCTTCTGCTTTTTGATACATCTATAGCCTGAACCGAGGGACGATTGCATCCGCTGGTTGTCAATGTGCAATGTTGAAGAATCCTTGGACACAACATCTTAAACAAAGAAGCTTTCAAGGATCTTTTTTTTTAAAAAAAAAAAACTTTCAAGGAAAAGTTGATTAGTTCAAATGACAAAAGTAATGAGAATCCAAATTCTTGGCCATTGGAGCTAGTTATGGTTAATTTTTGGCCTCTCAGCATTAAAACCAAAATGCCCACCTCAGGGGCTGGCAGTCAAACAGCTTAACGGATAATTTTCTCCTCATTATACAGTATCCTGTTTCAAGACTGAGGATCACCAACTTTACGGACAAAGGTTCACCTTAACGCTCAGCAATGACAAACTTTAAAAGGCAAAATCCACAGCAATCTAAACCCTTGTTAATTAAACCAATCACCCTTAGAATTTGACTCTCCCAACTATAAGACAAAAGCCCCGATATCATTCAGGGTCTTGCAATCAAACAGCTTAATGGGATGATGTTCTCCTCATAATAGGACTTGTACCCAAGAATACCTTCATCCATGAAGTCTGAGGATGAAGGTGATTTGCAAATCACAGTCTTTTCAAGATTCCCGTCGGTTGGATCATATATATAAAATTTGGAGGGACAATGGATGTCCGCATCTTCGTCAAACAACACCACCTTTCCATCAGGGAGTATACCAACCGGTCCAAATCGATACTTCCTTGACGTTGGAAGGTCAAGTTTATGCTCAGTCCACATCCCTGACTCTTGACCATTGCCGTAATAACAAATCACTGCCTCATTATGGGACCACGTTCTGACTAAAGCTAGACCAGGTCCAAACTGCAGTGGATAGCAAAACTTAGGCGTGGGAATAATCTGAAACTTCTCATGATCAAGTTCAAAAGCAATAAGATGGTTATCTGAATTCGTAGGGCCTAAGTTAGTTGGTTCCATCCAGTATAGAACTCCAGTGAAGCATATGCTACGTGATCTGATTTCCCAAGGTGCAGGCTTAATGCTTCTCCATGATGAGTCAACACCGAGGGTCAGAATCTCACAATCTAGATTAAGAACGAACTCGGAATTGTCCTCAGGATACAGAATATTATCATCATAGTCCTTGTATACTGGACAAATCTTGAGTAACTTGTACAATCTACTAGCGGGGTCAAAACCAAGATGGTAACTACAAGAACTGGATTCATGTCTAGAAACAGGGAGTCGTCTGCATTCTCGGGTGGCAATGTTGCACAAGTACGAATAGTTGCTGTAGTAAAAACATAGAAGGCCCTTGACAGTGTCAGTGCAGCCCATTCCCTCCATGCCGTGATCCAAGGTTAGGTGATGAGAAAGGTACTTAACAGGGCCATCAAACAGGCTTTGATAATAGAAATCTCTTGTCGAATCTTTTCTCCAGTGGAAGGGCTCAGAAATAAGGAGACCTAGAAATCCACCACGGCTCCCTGGCAAAGGACGGATCCTTAATAATTGATTGTCATCGCTTGGAAACGCACTTACATCGCATCAGGGACTTGGTTGGAAGCTATGTCAGGATTTCCCATATCATCTCATTAGGAAGTACTTGATTTGGAATGAGACAAGGATTAGCACGGCAATGGCTTCCCACTTTCTTTGAAATGCCTATTGGTAATCTAGGTTCTTCAGCAATGAGCTCATTCACAGCATCAGCTACACTTGGAAGTGGTGACCTAACCAAAATCTGTTTTCTTAAAGGCTCAAATTCTGGTTTCAAAGGCACAAGGAACTGGAACAAGCGTTGCTCTTCCCGGAACTTTACATAATAGTCCAAACTTGTTAATTCTGGTGGCTCCATCGTAGCCAACTGATCCCATATTCTTGTCATCAGAGAGTAAAATTCTGGAACGCTTCTGTCGCCCTGAACTAATCCTCGCAAGAAATTCTCCAACTTGTACTTCCGAGCAATATTGACTTTAGTGAACGCTCTTGCTAAATGATGCCATACTTCCTTAGCCAAACTGAATTTCTATCAATGCTTGCCGATTGACGGTCCCACAGAGTCGTTAATCCAAGTGAGTATTTTAGCATTGACCGTGTCCCATTCAGATAAAAGTTCTGCATAATTTTCAATCCCTTCAACCGGTTTCTCAAGAGTTCCATCAACATATTTCCAAGCGTCCTTGCTAATAAGATAATTTTTCATCAAATAAGCCCAAGTTGTGTAGTTGGACCAATCAAGTTTGATAGCAACTACCTGACTTCCCTCAGCATCCATAACCTTGTCGCACGGTAGTTGTAGTACTAGCAATGCAGATTCTCAGAGACAAAATATCAAACAACTGGTGAGCACAAAAATATACAAACTCGGAAAATAAACTTTTCTTTCTTTTTAAGGGTAGAGGAATTCAGGAATGTAGAACAAATGAGGAGTATTTCGTTAATGGTCGATAAAAGGGAAGAAGAGAGAAAATTTCCACCCACAAATAGATTCCAAAGCCGCAAAATTAGAAGCATTTGAAAAAAGAAGAGCATCAATATGGAATGGCACTTTAATGCCTAATTTATATCAGTTGTAACAAACTAGACGAGCGGTTGCTTAGTGGCTGAGTTGCCAAGAAACCAGACTTCAAAAAGAGCAAAGCGTTGTTTTGGCTCCACGAGCAAACAGGACGCCTTTAAATGAAAGCAGATTTTTTTTTTTTCCTAAGGAAAAAATGTAGTTTTGGTCCCCAAAGTTTAGCATAGGAGCCATTCTAAATACCAAATTATACTAGTGATTCGTTCAATCTGTATTTCATTTTTGTCATTTTTTTTTCTTTTACTTTTTTCTTTTTTTCTCCACAATTGGCGCCTATTTTTCCTTGTAAAATTAATTTACATAAATTTTGTTTTCTAATTCATGTTTAGTTTCTAAATTAGCCAGCTAAAATTTTTTCGTGTCCTTCACTAATTCTGGAATCTATTTTTAAAACTCTATTCCAGATGGAAATTTACATCAATGCGTTTATTTTCAAAGATGGAATTTAAAGGCCGGGATTTAATGGATAACCACAAAAAAAAAAAAAAAAACGATCTTGGGAACATAATTTAGTTATTAAGCGGTCACTTATTCTATTAAAATTAATCTAGAATTAGATATATGTTAGCAATGTCTACCTTTGAACGTAACTAAGAAGGTAGATATACACAAAATTAGTCAAGATTTTTAAGAATATAGCCTAACTAATGCCTGGTCATTAAATTTTAATGGAAAAAATTTTCAAATCAATTAACCTATAACCTTTCTAAATCAATTTCTATTTCATAAGGGATTCTAATTCTAAAACAAAACTTAAATGTTGGTAGACGTTAAAAACCCCAATAATGCTTAGAATCACATTCATGTTTGGAAATAGATTAAAATCATTAATATTAATAATATGGGCATTATTGGAAAACGAAAACTAAACCACTAGGATATCTAAATGTATACCTTCATCTTTTTAGTAACTTCTCCCTTTCATTTAGTTACACATATGTGATTATGTGAGCGGTTAAACTTTAGTATCATGATGATCTTTTTTTTTTTTAATTTTAGACAAGGGTCACGTGACTCCATTCCGATAATAATTGAAAAAAATTGGTCACTTATCCTAGAAGTACTTTAAATTTGAAAGATTAGGGACCAAATTTGTTTTAACCCAAATTTCGGGAACTTAAATCGCACGTATGCTAAATTTTGAAAACCAAAACTGTATTTCTCCCTTTTTTTTTTTTTAATTACTTGATAACAATAATAGCAATTAAACATGGCAAAACTGCAAGCAAACGACACTATAAAAAACTTGACCAAATTTTGAAACAGCATTATGAATTCTCTATTATTGATCATTGGGCAATCTATCCCATTCTCAAAGTAATCATCTTTGTGCTACTACATACATAAGCTTGCATCAACTCATACTTTTATGGTTGGCAAATCCAATGGAACTTAACATTAAAAAAAAAAAAAAAGGAAAATTGAACACCGTGCTCAGTTTGTAAGCAAAAAGTGATGCTGGTGGTGAAAGTTGCACACGATAAAGTGGAATTTGAGTAATTAGTATTGAAACAATAGCTCGAAGATGATTGCTGCTGCCCCTGTTCGGTGAATATATTCTTGATGGATGGAGCAAGATATGGTGGAACTGGCATCTTCGACGGGAGAATTGGCAATTCAACTTCAAAATTTAGTGCATGAATTAAAGTTTGCTTGCATATGTTGGTTTCAGCAAGTGGTCATCTTAGAATTAAATTTCATTTTCCATTTTTGTATTGTTCGTTTTCTATACGCTGCTGATAGTTCTTCCCCAATACCCCTCCAAAATATCATTCAGGAGTAAAAGTGCAGCAGTTAGATGAATGAACCAAAAATTTTGCTCTCTCCATTTTTGGGCAAAATCCACTTTTTGTCCATTAACTTTGAACTAGAGACACATTTCGTCCCCAAACTTTTAGGCACGATACATTTAGTACATGAATTAATAATTTTTTGTCACATTTATTCCAAAAACGGTAAATTGTTTAATTTGAACGGAGAAGACTTGCGTGTCTTGCATGTGACCGCTAGGTAGAAACAATTTTTCAGTCAAAATCAACGACCATGTGCTAAAACATCCAAATAATTATACCGTTTAGAGCCGAAGTTTGATTTGACAGCATTTCCCTCTTTCCTTGTCCCGCTCCAGTAGAAATGGTTAAATTCTACTGTTCCTGCTAGTGGTTACTTGTGTCTTTTACCTGAAATAACTGAAGTTGGATCAAAGTGAACAGAGCAAAAGCTCTTTGGATATGTTCATCAATAAAACAGTAGGATAAGCTTGAGGGCATAATAGAAACATTCAAATAATCCATGAACTCCACAATTAACAAATTGGAAAAATAGTAACATTCTTTTTAAACTTCTAACAGTCCAAAACAAATTCAGAAGCCATTATCATTTAAAGGACATTACTACCAACTCGAAGTTCTCAGAGAACTCAATTACATATAAAGAAGAAACAACATGGTACTCAACCCAACAATGAAGTCCCAAACAGCCAGAAATAATGGAGAAAAAATATATATTTTTTCAGATGCAGAAGCCGATTCAAGCCACAAACAAATATAGAGGACAATCCAGATCACGAAAACACACAGTCACTAATATTCTAATAAAAGATCTAGAAGAATAATAATAATGGGCTTGGGATTTCAGGAGTGGCTGGAGAGCCTTGACAAGAGTCCTCGTATTTGGCTGGAACTTAGCCTCATACCGCACAGAGACCGCTGCCACTGCTGCTAGCTGCATCAACAATAAAACAATGAATTAATCTTTCCTACACTGACAGTGTATATACCGTCAGCATTGGATGAATAACAACCATATAAAATTTGAATTTAAAATCTAACTTTTGCATAACTGTCATGAATCCAATGATGATAGTGTATACATTAACAGTGTATATAAGATTTACTCTAAAACAATAAGCATTATTAGATTCTCGGTACCCAGCCCCAAGAAAAGATAAGGGACTTCTGAGGGGCCTGGATGAAGGTAGGGATTTCTGTCACTGTATAACCAAAAACTAAGCCGGATGCAAGACAGAGAAGTTGCAGAAAGGACAAATGGTATGGAGATAGTAAGAGGAGAAGCACGGGAATGAATCTTAACAAACTCCTTTTTGGGGTAAGTAACTGAGCTTTGGATCCATAGATTGTTTTACTTTGTCCTCGCTTAGTCTTGGAGTTGCCTAGAAACACAAAATTAGTCATATGTTGCCACAGAGATGGAACCTTGGCTGAAAGAAAGCAGAGGGTGATAAAAAATGGAGACGGTACTTGACTAAAGGCAGTAAAAAGGGCCAATCCAAGGGACAAAAGACTCTTGTCCACGAGGCAATGCTGTGATGAACAGGCTTCATTCTAGTTAAAAGCTCAAGGGAAACCACTCCAAAGCTATACATATTGCTTTTCTGCATCAGTTGCCCTGTCATTGCATATCCATGTTCCATATCCACCAGCGAATTAACTGATGAAAATTCTTCAAAAAAGGAACATCTAGCCACAGATATGTACCAAAAGTACACAAACAAAGCCCCTAGTGACTTAATTTACAAGCATGATGACTTGAATAGATTGCGATTTCAAGATAACTAATTAACTATGATAACTAGGAAGGACAACTTTGCCAAAAGAAAGAAGGTGCAGATTCAACCCCATCCAAGACAATAGACAGTCACAATTTCTTCAAGTTATGAGACTATCCAAATGAAGCACCAAGCATATCAAAACACAACAGTAACTAGCTCTAATAGTCAGAAATATGATTTGGTTTTTAAAGTTCAGATGGCAGTTCTATGAGATAAGCTATGACTCTTCCAAGAATGTGCTCTATTAGGAAACTAAAACTGAAAAGCAGGCGTGGCTATTTACTATGTAATTGAGAGTATAACTAAATCAAATGAAGGAGATCTTTTCCATTGTTTTACAATTCAATGTGACAAGTCAAAGGCCCAATAATATATGTAGGATTTAGCAAAGACAACTGTCACTTTTGCCCATATTTTTCTGCTAGCTTTTAAGAAAAGCAGCTGTTATACTTTGAAAAGGAAACCAAATTAAAGATGTCATCAACCTAACTCAGTCCATGGTTATTAAACTACTTACCTAGTAAACTGCAACGGTGAAAATTTGAAATCCTGAGAACTTTTTGAGATGTAAAAGCTATAGAAACCAAACAACTTCTTTATCAAAATGAATGAAATATTCATCAACAATGCTCAATATTTATGTGTGAACTCGTTCATTGTTGCTACTTGAAACTTGAAAGTGTTGCACACTCGCGTTGCTGCTTGCCGCATGAAAATTTTGTTCTCTATGTTGGATCTAATGCAAATGTTCAGCGAGAATTATTGACATCTATTTAGGATTCATAATATATTTTGGTCATAAGAACTATAGAACTCATAGGGTCAACTCAAACTCTCAAATCAATCCACATATTAGCGTATACATCATCTTTCACTTTCCCTAAAAGTGAAAATGTAATTTATTGAACATGCACCAGACAAACCTGCAAAGATTTGTTTAAGAGTTGCCTGAGTTAAAATTCTAACAAACGCAACCAAAACGACATGCAGGTGCCCATGTACTATATCCTGAAACGGCGATCAGATGTGCATAAACCATCTACTACAGAACCAGAATCAATATGAAGATCTATCTCAATGTTCAGAATTTGATCCCAACATCTTGTCTTTAACTGTTTGCAAGTGA